GCCGCTCCGGGAAAATCAGTACAAATTTTACTATAATATACCGAACTGCGAGGGGGAGATTGTACCATTGGTGAAACTCGTAAAATGACAACGTTTCTGGTTATCTGTCTGTCTTCGTTCTATCCTCTCTCGCTCGCAGTTTCTCGTAATCCCGAAAACGGAAGTTCCAAACAGAACCCGACACCGTTGTATTCACGGGTTAATGAATACGGGTCCTATGATAGATTGGCAGTTATTGCGGCCAGATTCTGTGATAAATTCGCCGTTTTCCGTTGCTTGATTGCGAGTACAGCTTACATGTCGGATTCTCTCACCGCCCGAAACGTTTCCCGCGGTTCGTGTATTCGCGGTGCGACACGGGACTTTCAAATCGGATTTCGTACATGTTCGAGCAAAAGTTACCGCGGTTGGTCCCTCGGACACGTTTTTGTTTAGTTCGGTTTGCCGGCTGTCGATGTCCCTGCGTGACGAGATGTGGGACGGGGAATTCTCGAGGCGCGTGACTCCGAATGTGTACGGGATGCTAGTAGTTCTCGGTTTTCTTGGAACTTTAATAACGATGTTTTGTACAGTTTCAAAATTGAATTTTTCTACCCTGGAAGTGGTGCAGCATAAATACGTACTATTGAGAGACATTTTCATTACCTGATATTTATGCCACTTTATAATACTACGAATAAAGTACATCTTTAAAAAAAGAGAAGTTAGGTCTTTATTTCATTTAGAACAATCTGCTCTGGATATCAAATTACTTATAAACAAAGATATTGTTTGAGATAAGAGGAAACATACTTATTGCAGTAATTAATTTACATTGAGATTTTATAACATTTAAGTGCATGCCCCAAAATCCACCCTCTGATATTGCGAATTTCCAGACGGTTGAGAGGGTAAAGCGACGCGTATCGTTTATCGATCGTCCTTAGCCCCGATGTACCGGAAACTAAGGTATAGTTTGAAATACATTTACGTACTTCGATCAGGTTCGACGTACTGGTCAACGGAGGTGGTGCAGTGACGCTTCAGTTCCAGCGTAGCCCGTTCAAGCCCCTCACGAGGACGGTGTTCGTGCCATGGAATCAAATAGTGGTCCTGCCTCCGGTAGTGATGACCCTTAACGAGGAAGGCGAGTCCCACAAATCCAACCAACCACCAAGCCCAGCTGTGGGTAAGTATTACACCTTTATCATTCTATTCTTTCATTTCTTCTATCTTTGTTCACGTTTTATCGTGTCCCGAGATCGCTTGGCGTCAGGAAGACTGGCAACCCAAAATGTTTCATGTTTAATCGAATGACTTGCCAGTGTAATTTTTTTTCTTTCTAATCTACCTTTTCTTTTTATTTCCTTTGTGTTACATTTACTTTTATTACTTTCTGAAATATACATATACATATACAATGTGTTCGGCATTTTAAAGGGTAATTCTAAAAGCCAAAATAGGACAAAAATTAAGAATAGAAAAAATTGCGAGTGGGACTCCACTTTTCGGTTCTCAGATATCTAAATGCTAATGTACCTCATAGCGACTACTTGGGCGCGTTGTACTTGGGGAACCATTGCCTGCACGGTACAGTCCTCTGACCTGCAGTGATCCCCAAATACAACATGCGCAATATAACGGTAACTGCTAATTGTAAACGGTATGTTACCATTTATTGCTAGAATTTTTAACTGACTACTTCTGTTATAACTATTGAAGTCTCGGGTGCATTTCTTTTTATTCTTGACTTCTGCCTTATTTTGGCTTCTAGAATCAGTTCTTAAATTTTTTCCACAAGTAACTGAACACCCTGTATACATATAAATGTTACTAATTATTCGCTGCTTCATCGTCACTCCATCAATGGGTAAAGAGGAATCTATACAAAGATCTGTAACTGACCGTCTGTGCCGTCTTTGTTCCGTCCTTAAGTGTTTTATGTTTTTAATTTCCTTACCATTTATATGGCGTACTACATAATAGGCTTCCCAGGGATATCGATGGGACTATTTAGCGAACACGGACCGTGTCTAGAACACGACCATGAACTGCTAAGACCCATCATCGTCAGCACCTGGATGCCGGAAAAGGTCGGCGGTCTCCCGGGCAAGAGTTTAGTCTTTGCAGAGAGCCAGGTAACTTATCATTATTTTTAATTTTATATAATTCACGCTTGCAAATTTTTCTACCACATGTTTATAATAACATCTACAATAAACATTAATCAAGTAATAAACCAACTTTAATTAATAATTGAATTATGATCATTATAAGTCAACCAATCGGTATCAGATAATGAAGACCTATTTCTAAGCATTTAAAGCGTTACAGTACATCATCTATCCCTCCATTCGTGGAAACACTTTAGGTGCAAATCGTTTCCCTAATTTAAAATTCAGATATTCTGTTCGAAACCAGACTTCAGTGAAAAACAACTCCTACCATCTAACGTTTAGCACTTGATCGGACCTCTACTTCTTGCAGATTGTTCAAGAGAGCATCGCTATTCCGGGTTCGAACCTCCACTTGATGTACCAAAGTAGCCAGGCTGCTGGTTATCTCTCGACAGTGAGGATGCAACTGACCGGTCCTTTCATACCAAAGTCGCTGACACACGTGCATGTGCACGTGGAAATCGAGGGCTCGCTGCATACGAAGACGTACGAGGCGGACCCGAATTTAACGCATACGTTCGCCTGGAACAAGCGGAACGTTTACAAGCAAAAGGTGTACGGCGTTGCCCAAGCGAGGATCTCGATCGGCTATCAGCATTCCACTTGTCCAGCGGTGATCTGGGAAACGCAGACGGCCACGTTGCAAGGTTTCGATGTAGACATCTCGGATATCGGTGGCTGGGGACTGGACATCCACCATCACTATAACTTCCACGAGGGTATACTGCAGAAAGGGGATGGTACCACGTTGCATTTCAAGCAGTATCCCCGTACCGTGAAGGTGGTAATGGGTACTGGACTACAGAGAAACTTGGTGTGCCAAGACTGCGACGGTTTAGCGAAAGATGCCAGATTGTTGACGCCAGTTGCATTGACCAGCGGTCCAGATGGAAGCATTTACGTGGGAGATTTCAATCTGGTACGAAGAATCACGCCGGAAGGAAACGTGTACACTGTTCTAACTTTAAGGTATGCTTGAGCACAATCACTCTTAATTATAGGAACTACTTTCATTGAGAGACTGTTAAAATAGAAATAAAATATTTGAAAATTTGTGTTTTCAGTGCAACACAAGTAGCTTATGAATACTATCTCTGCGTTTCCCCGGCGGATGGTCATCTGTATATTAGTGATCCAGAAAAACATCAAATATTAAAGGCTTTGTCGCTGAAAAATGTTCAGCATCCTAGCATCAACATCGAGGCAGTAATTGGAAGTGGAGAAAGATGCATTCCTGGCGACGAAAGTCATTGCGGTGATGAGGGTCCAGCTATTCGTGCTAAATTAGCTCATCCAAAAGGTAAACATCGTCATTTATGGATTTATTACATCTTTTGTTAGACTACTTAGTAAAATACAATTTACATTGATAGGAATTGCTATTGCCGCTGATAAAACAATGTACATCGCTGACGGAAGAAATATCCGTGCAGTAGATCCTCATGGGATTATTCATACCCTGGTAGGACACCACGGGCATCATAATCACTGGTCCCCAGCTCCTTGTGTTGGTGCTATACCTGCTCATCAGGCGCAACTCCAATGGCCAACTGGACTGACCCTAAGTCCTTTAGATGGATCCCTTCACTTCATCGATGACAGACTCGTCTTAAAACTCACCAGCGATTTGAAAGTACGCGTAGTAGCAGGCACGCCACTTCACTGTACTACCAACACCAATAGTAATGGAAATAACAACGATAGTGATATCAAAAAAATCAATTCTACGACCACGAGTAATCCTAAGAAATCAGATGAAGTTCTTGGCTCCGTACTGGCTGTCAGCTTCAGTCCTACTGGCGAATTATACATAGCGGAAAGCGATTCGCACAGAATGAACTCTATTAAGATCGTAGACAGCTCGGGAAAAATGTCCCACTTTGCTGGGCAACAACAGGAAAGATTACGCGGCCAATGCGAGTGTAACAATACCACTCCCAGTACTAAGGACCTGGAAAGTTGCTCGTGCACCGATGATACCAGCAGTACGGAGACGTTACTATCGTCGAATGCTAAATTCACTGCAATTTCCGCATTAGCTGTGTCACCGGATGGAGTTTTACACGTGGCTGACCAAGGAAGTCTACATATCTTGGCTTTGCAACCATATCTCCCGAATCATGACGAGAGTGGAGAATTCCATATTCCCTTCCCTCCATCGAACGAAGTATACGTATTTAACCGTTATGGTCAGCATATTTCCACCAAGGATTTGACATCCGGAAAAACTCGTTATTCCTTCTTGTACAGCAAGAATACAAGCTTTGGAAAATTGTCCACAGTGACAGACAGCGCTGGGAATAAAATTCAGTTCTTGAGAGACTACAGTAGTGTCGTTAGTTCTATAGAAAATACGCAAGATCATAAGTCCGAGTTGAAGATTTCAGCTGTCGGTTTCCTGGAAAAGCTTTCCGAAAGAGGAAGAGCTGAGATTGCACTCGCATATGATGGATCGACTGGCTTGCTAACTAGCAGATCAGGAGTAAGTTATTATTTCGATCTTTTTTCCTTTCTTTCAAGTGTTTATTTTACATCTTTTATGAATAAAAACATTTTTATCTCTTTTCCAGGGTGGTGAAACATACATTTACAATTATGATAGTTTGGGCCGAGTGACGGATGTCATCCTTCCTACGGGTGAAAAATTGAAGCTGTCTTCCGATTTATCTGACGACGAAGGTTTGTCAGTTAAAGTGTCAGCTCCGCTTCAGGCTTTGTCGAAAGGAGACAAACAGAGGTCCGCCGAATTCATAATGAAGAACGAAAGATCGAAGATTTTGACCATTACTGATGGTAAATAAAAGCTAAATGACAATATATTAATGTGTGTTACTATAATTTTGAAACAAATTTAAATTTAAATTTTTAACAACACACGCATCTTATTATGCATAGGCACCAAAGTCAAGAAGGCTATCGCTTTCACCAATAGCAGCCTGGAAGTTCTCCTCCCTGGAGGTGGTAGAGTATTGAGTGCGGCTACTACAAAACATCCTCTTCTAGAAGCCGCTCTACCAGTGGAGGCCGAAATGTTGCCAATGTGGAGCTACCAATTAATGTCCTTAGGCGAACTCACCAACACTATGACCACCACTTACAGCCTAGTTGGTGATGTCAGTCATTTCCAGCAGACTTTGAACAGAGAGATCTGGGTGAATGACACTCGAGTAATTGGCGTGGAATTCGAGCAAGCATTCAGGCGAGAAACCTTCTACGACAAAGGAAGGACTCCACTTCTGACGGTTACCTTCGACCCTGCTGATTTACCTCTGACTTGGCAGCCGCATGAACAAGGCTACAATCTCAGCATTACATACGACAGATTCAATCGGATAGAAAGCTGGAAGTGGGGGCCATCCGATGAATCTTACGGCTACGATCGACACGGACAATTGGCTGAAGTTACTAATAGTCAAGATGGGACGAAACAATACACATATAACGATTTCAACATGCTGTCCAACATCACTTTAGCTAGTGATAGACAATTCACGTTGCAGTATGACGACGACGGTGGTCTGCGCCATATCATACTTCCATCGGGAACCAAACACTCATTTTCGTGTCAAGCTTCCCTAGGATTTCTCAGAGTGACATATACCCCGCCAGGCAGCAGTAGAGCTTATCTCCAACATTATAGTCATGATGGAAATTTATTGCAAACTGTATTCCCTGGTGATGGAGCTCGTATCGTATACAGATATCACACTTCGGGACAACTCGCTGAAGTTGTTCACGGCGATGGGAAGAGCGAAATTAGATACACAGAAAGCGGTCTACCTTCAGAAGTCATTCACTCCGAACGAGACGTAGAGTACAAATGGGATTATCAGTACAGTGCTGGACTGTTAGTTGAAGAGCGCATCGACTTCGGCGCAAAAACGGGCCTCAGCAATGCCAAATTCACATTCGATTACGATTCAAACTTCAGACTTATCAATGTACAAGGTAGAATAGGAGGACAGACACTTCCAACTTACACCATGGCCTACAGTCCAAAAACAGGTATGCTGGAGCAGATTGGCCAGTTCAAAGTGACCAGACCTCAGCCTAACGAGACTACTGTTTTTGATGGAACTGCATTCTTCTCGAGAATTACGGATGACAGATTTTTGGAAACCCAAGTCACGTTGACGATTCATCAGATGGAAGTTTTTAGAATGGAGTTCACGCACGATACTCGCGGTCGTATCAATCAAACCAGGACTTATACGCGTAATGTCGCCGTCAACACTTATACTAACGTGAAGAATTATACTTGGGACTGTGATGGACAATTAACGGGAGTCGAAGCTCAGGAACCATGGGGATTCAAATATGACGCAAATGGAAACATGTTATCATTGACATATCGAGGAAACACTATCCCCATGGAATATAATAGTATGGACAGGATTGTAAAATTCGCTGAAGGATTGTATAAGTATGATAATAGAGGTCTGGTCGTACAGAATGCTAGGGAGGAAAGATTCAGCTACAATGCTAAAGGCCTCTTGGTGCGCGCATCGAAACATGGACGATTTGACGTTCGATACTACTATGATCATATGGATCGATTGGCTACTAGAAAAGATAACTATGGAAATGTTACACAATTCTTTTATAACAATCAAAAACGCCCTCACGAAGTCAGCCAGATTTACAGTCCAAGGGATGGTAAATTAATGTCGCTGGTATACGATGACAGAGGACATTTGATTTATGCTCAAGTCTATCGGCACAAGTATTATATTGCTACCGATCAATGTGGCACACCGATAATGATCTTTAGTCAATATGGCGAAGTCATTAGAGAAATCATGAGATCACCCTATGGACATATCGTTTACGATTCGAATCCTTATTTGTATTTACCCGTTGATTTCTGCGGAGGACTTTTGGATCCGGTAAGAAAGAGACCAATAAAATACTATTACAAATAATTTTAAACTAATCTCTCTCTTCAGACTCATCAATCATTATTTTTATTTTTTTTGTTAATTTAGGTAACATTATTAGTGCACATGCAGAATGGGAAAGTCTACGATCCATTGATAGGTAAACTCATGTCTCCTTTGTGGGAGAACGTTCTGGACAGAGTGGACAACCCAACGCATCTGCATCTGTACAGGTTCAATGGGAACGATCCTATTGATGTTAGGCATACAGACCGGCCAAACCAACCAACTGGTAAGTTTGCTACATCTTCGAAGAGGGATGCCTTATAGAAGATTTAGTAGCTCTGCACGTTCACTTTGGTCAATATTGATACACTCTAAGGCGAACCACGTACACTTGCTCAACTCTCGAAACCCAACCACATTTCCATTCCATTCCCTTTGCAGTGAAAGAGGTATACGGAAATCAGTTGAACATTTCAGCAAGACATTATTTTCCAAGCTTCCAAATTAATATAATTAAAAAAATAAAATATAAAACGAAATATCTCTTTGAAAAATTGTATATTTTAAAGACGTTATAGCAGAGTACAAAAATTGAATTTTATTCGTCGTATCTGCTTTAGACCACATATCATGGATGTCGCGCCTGGGATACGACTTAAAAAACCTCGCGCCCCAGCTCTTCCCCGAGGAACTGCCAGATAGTCTTATTCCCCCAGCCCTTGGTCCAGGCACATCCATATTTGGCAAGAAGAAGAGAACCAGAAACCTTGGCGTTCAATCCGGTTTCCTAGCTCACATCGCACAAAGACATTCCGGTGACGCTGTCAGTCTATCGGCTCCACCTCGATCTGCCCTGAAGAAAGACACCAGCGATTTGATACCAAGCCGTTTGGGCGCAGCCTCAGATCCTCCATTCGGCAAAGGAATTTTAGTATCGAGGACTGCGGACGGTCAAGCGGTTGTTTCCAGCGTGCCAACCGCTAATGCTATTTACGGTGACGTGTTCACTTCGGTATTCAACCGATCATACTTCCTGCCATTCACGTTCGTGGTGCATAGTGCCCAACAGGATGCTTTCTATTTCGTGAAGGAAGAAACATGGCGAGCTAGCGAAGATCGTGGACAATTAAAGCGTCTGGGTGGGCAAGTAAACACGACCTTCCACGAAAACGAGAACGGCTCGTTGATCGACGTGAAGATTCACGGCGCTAGTTATGTTGTGAATTTGCGCTATGGCACCACCGCCGAGAAAGAGAAACAAAGACTGCTCCATCACGCCAAAGCGACTGCCATTCGCAAGGCCTGGCACAGGGAACGCGAGGCACTAAAGGCCAACACGCCGACGTCCATAGAATGGATGGTGACCGAACAAGATGAAATCTTGAAGTCCGGGTCTGCATCCAATTACGAAGGCGAGTACATCCACGACGCGCAACAGTATCCGGAATTGGCGGAGGACCCGTACAACATCCGGTTCGTCAGGAAAGCCATTGACCAGTCAAGCAAGAAGCGGCGTAGGAGGAGAGGCGCAGCCACTTGCAAGCTTTGGTGGCGGGACAAGATCTGCTAATTGAGTCCTATTAACCGAATTAGCCATTGAGTCCTCCTCTCCTGACACACGCCGTTGCCGAGAGAATTGTCCAATCGTCGAAGCAACAGGAATTTCCCAATGGACGTTAGATATAGCGTGTAATAATGACGTGTTGAAAAAAATTGAGAAGATGAGGGACGAAGAAAGAAGAAAAAGTAGATCGAGCAGTTCTTCGTATGAATGTACTGAATACTATCAAAAAAAAACAAAAAAGTTTTATACCAAAGTCTATTTGTGTATTTCGAAGATGCCAAAACATTTAACGTTATATCGATTATATTATACCGCGATTAGGGTTTAGTGTATAAGCATCTCGGGGAAATGTTTGCCCGCGCGCGACCGTGCCCCATCCGCAATTCGTGACTCTTGCGGATTAACAGAGAGTGTTGTCGCCGGTCACTTTGGGAAAAAAGAAGATACGTTCCGAGAAGAAGCTCTCGTCCTTGCAGCAGTCACGAGGAACAATGAAGAGCACGTAAACCTATCGTTGTTCCTCCTTGTCGTGACATAAGAAGAGTTCCTTGCGCAAACGACTGAAAGAGGAATTTTTTTTTAAAAAAGAAAACACAAAAGCAAATCGTACATGTCATCGTTGTGCCATCATCGTTGACATGCGAACGTGACGAAGTGCCGCATCATCATCGATCGTGAACGTTAGAACGACGAAGGAATGATAGCAAGGAGCAGGCCATTCGTCGTTGGGGCAAATTGAGTGAGAGAAACTAGTCAATATATAGCTTTACATTGACGTATAAACTTTTTCCAGTAGGGTAAGGAGGACACGTGGCGTCGATGTACCGTGCAAAAAGAAATAAGCCGTGTGTACTCATTTGATCGTCGTTTGTCCCCGCGATACCTTAGTCGTACTTAGATGTCGAGAAGAGAATAAAGAATCTGTAAGAGAAATGATTTCAAAAGGAGTATACACCTACACGATAAGTACGCCATTTTGACGAATCGCAAATAGATGCGGAAGGAATACGCGCACGCATATCTCAACAATGAATGGCCCTGTGAGTGCTAGAGAGGATTTAAAAAGAAAAATCTTTTGTTATGCAATTAATCAACGTCCAAGGTGTCGAAACGAAACTGCTAAATTGTATTGAATCAACGATAGGATGATAGCGGTAAAAAGATGGTGTCTTTCGTTCGAGTGATCAATAGGCGCGGTTTCGAATCGATATTCCAAATTTAGGAAATTGGAGGAGCAGAATGAGAGAAGCGGTATTAAGGTGTATTATAAAAGTGGTGCTTTCTTGTGTGAAGAAGAAATATCGGTGCAACATTCGATGACAGTGAGCGTGACTAAAAGACGTCAGTATACACGTATATAAATATTCGATAAAAAAAACACACACAAATACATTGACTAGCGTGACTAAGGTATTTTTAACGATGGATGTGTCCTACCCAGTTCCCCAATTAGCGTTAGCGTCCATTTCCTCAAGAATTGATGTCGCATCGCGTACAAATTATTGTTCGAAAAACTGGGAGAAATGAGAGTGAGAATGAGAAAGAAGCTTTATAGTTACGGGAACGAAGAAATTATCTCCTGCGATAACGAGACAGAACGAATCTTCGGACGGGTTAGCTGATGTCTGTCTGTCGAATTAAAATTAAAAATGAAATAGGGTGTGTGGAAGAAAGCGAGAAAGAGAAAGGAAGAAACTCCATTATCTGTAATAATACGTATACATGAGATATTATTATACATTCGTGCTTGCTGGATATGAATAACGGAACGTTAACTATGTTTCTTCACTGAATACTAAGTGTGTATATCTAAATTTAATGCTCGTCAGTACTGATGGTTTCTGCTATGTACTGAACGCCATATACATCTATGTATGTAAGAATATTATTTAGCACCATCTCCCACAAAAATCCCACACCCTTTTCCGATAACGCAAGAGTTTACTGCCCGTTCCATGTTAAGATATCCAAACTCTTCTTATTGCTAGCTGCACCCGTTGTATCCCCGGTACTTCCGGTATGTATGTATGCTTTCTTTCGAAACCTCCATTTTCTTCGATTACCCCGCATTATTTTTCCGCATTTATTCGAACGATTTATACTCGCCATTAAATATTTTGCGAATACCGCTTTAGACTGCGCCGTTTTTAAGGCGGATAGATAGCGGCACAACGACATTATCGTCTGAATAGATGGAAAAGATAATTAAAAAGAAAAAACATTTAAAAAAGGAATTACCTTATGCGCTGAGTGTATAAACGAATAAAAAAAATATAAAGTATATATATATATATAGAAAGAGAGAAGAAGAAACAGAAAACAGAAGAAAAGAGATTATATAGGAAAGCTTCGTAAACGTATTTTTGACTCGAACGAGTGTTTAGAGGCTGCATCGGACATTAAAAACCCTTCAAACTCTGTGGTCCAAAGCGAGTTCTCGTGCCCTAACAGGGTCGAAGGCGATCTTATTTTCATCTTTTTTTTTATTTTACAAATACAATTAAAAAATCGTGTTCTCTCGTCCTTCCGCCACTGTCTCCCGAACATGTGTTGCCAATATATGAAAATCGAATCGTGTGCCGGAAGAACGAGACGTAACGAAAGGACCGCGAGACAATGAAACCACAGCATCGATTTGCGAACATCCAAAATCTAAACACTCAGTAACACTGTACACTTTACGCCCTGCATACCCGATCGATCCCCCCCCCCCCCCCGTACCCTCGAGCCCCAAATTATCCGTGTGATCTATATATAGATACCGTGTATTACCGTTGAGTCGGCAATGGCGTTCAAAGAATCGACTATTTTTTAAAACAACTAAGAGAGAAAGAAATATCGAGTGTCAAATTAAAGCGTATCAGGTGAAACGTGAGTTGATCGGCGTTTTATTAGAAAGGCAGATTCAACGTGCAGGGTCGCAAGAACAATTTTGTCCCAGTTTATATACTCTTTCGAGTATTTAATTAATTACAGCTAAAAGAGAAAAGGACGAAGTGAAGAAAATAAGTAAATAGATTCGCTCTCTTAACTTCCGTGAAGTTTCAGTCTCGTTNATAAATAATAAATATTTCTGGAATTAACGGGGTGGAGAAAGCTCGAACAAGGTACATAACTGGGAAATATGATTGTCATTAATTAATAACTATTGTCGCATAAATTATAACTATGACACAAATGAACATGAAAAGATCAATACGAAACACGAACGTGGAATGTTATTATTCATGATTAGTTATTGGCCGAGCTAGCTGAATCCGTCGGACCATACATGGTGTATGTACTACTAGATTCTCGTGAAGCGAACGTCCTGGAAATGTTACGTATGTATACCATGGGACGAGTCGAAGCCAGGAACAGCACAGAAGTTTAAGCATACGGTAGACCATGAGAGTGATCTATCGGGCGAGAAAAAGTAAGGAAGAATGAGCGAGAGTGAAATAAATATGCAAGAGAGAAATCGAGAGAAAGGGTGAACGAATGAATGCGCAGAGTCAGTCATGCTACAGCTACTACGACCACTACCCTAAGTAGATTACGCTACTTCGCCGCTGATCTAATTGTTTACTGTCACGTGTTGCTGTAAACCTAAACTAACGATACGATATATTTTATTTATATAATCTAATCGACTGTATTTATTGTAAATAGTCACGATGTTTGCTATGATATAATATATCTGTAATTGGATGGAAACTACCTGGAAAACTGCGCCCAAAGCCCTGTCCTCCATGATCAATGTCTCTTCTACACCTTTTGGCGCGTGTCCTTAACATGCATACACGGAAGACACGTATACGGATACGCACAATTATAGTCTAGATAGAATACTAGTAAAAATAATCCTCGGTTAAGCGTCCGTAAACAGGGATTGAAAACACTTATGATATCGGTTTCAATTCTTGCAATAGTTATGGACAACCGAAAAACTGCAATAACTATTATTAGGTACATCAGAACTAATACATCTATTAACAGTTATGACATTTCTTCAGTTTTCCATAACTGTTTCGGCCAGAACCGATATATATCATTAAAAAAATTTATGGCATCACGATATTTTTATCAAAAATTGTCCAAGCTTGGAAGATGATTACCCAGCATATATTTAAGATGGAATTGCGTTCGAGACTCGAGATTCCTAATGGGTAGGTTGTTGTGTTATGACGAAATTTGTGTAAGGGATTCCTTTAAGCTTCTGTAACATCGAAAGGAAAAATCGTAGAGACTCAATTTTATCTTTGATTTGAAAAACGATATCCAACTTTGCCAATTTTCTAATTTTAGACATACCCTTAAATTTAAACATTGTCTATCGTAGGATTATATCAATAAATTAAAAATCTCTGGAGGGCATTTTAAATTAGAGGCTTGAGTTTAAAAGAAAAATCATCGTCTTATGATAATTTGTTGCTGAATAATCACCTTCCAAACTTTTACGACACAAATTTCGTGATACCATAATTTTTCGAGTACTGTACAACAGTTTGAAACAGTTATTTTCAGAACCTTTTCAATCCTTATCTGTAAGTATGATCCGCAAATAAAAGGTTGTCCTATAATATCATAAAATTAAGAATCAAACAAAAGGCACATAATAATTTAATTAAAAATTCAGTAATTACGTTGGAATACTTAGCACTATAACAATTTGGCACTTATCCGGGGAATACAGTACACATGGTAATAAAAGTTAGGTAACATCAAGATATTTGTGTAGGAAAAACGGTGCATTAGCACCAGGCGCTGCTCGGGCATTCGAGCATACGATGGGAGAGATAAAAGACAGACGACATTTTTGGTATCACATTAAATAAATTGTTAGTATTTAAATGTTCGTGTCGCATAATGAAACGATGAAAAGTGGATTATGTCCATTATTATTAGGTGTTATTATTCTCATCATGATCGATTCTGTAAATCTCGCGAGCAAGTTCGATCAGAAATTTCCTCTTTGCTTCGACGATCAACGAAGGCGCCGATTTAAAAATGAAAGCGAACGATGATAGAATTTTTATAACTATATCAAGTGAATGAGACAAAAGACTGTCCCAGAAAAACTGTCATCCATCGACTGATGGTTCAAAAAGGAAGTTTGCTCGAAGCAAATTTCGCGCTGTGCACGTATCACGAAAGGGAAAATAATTTAAACCAAGTCCAGTAACAACGTACATACAATATTACTAGATATCGTAAATAAAATATATTAAATGTTTACAGAAAATACATACATGACCTATACATGATAATAAAATCGGGAAGATGTTTCACATTAAGATTGTCATTCTTTTATGTAAATCATCGATCCTCGCTCACCTTTGTCTCATTCCGAATACAGTTCGATCTATCATTTGTAAGCACTATAAAAATCCAAATGAAATTTTTCTTCTATTTCGTCCTAAAGATCTAACCGATCGTTATTTATTAATAGATATAATAATCAATAAATTGTTTAGCAACCAAAAATTTCCTCAATAGGTACACCTCGCGCAACAATTCTTCGGCGTGTCGATGTGACACTCCATTTATTGTTAGGTCTTTACGAATTTTACCAACGGCTAATTTTTGGAAGTGAAACGTAGGATGTCAAATCTTTCAAGAGTTCCTCGATGTAAGTATAAGAAATATTCTTCTTACATATCTAGTGATGGGCACTATCGACTAATTTAAAGTATCGACTACCTAGGGAATAATCGCAACATACTATCGACTAATTAGTCGATAGTTTTTAGTCGGATGAAAAATCGCACTCGCGGTTATGATCATAGCGTTCATATTTAAATAGCATTTTTACTTGACCAAACATGATCTAAAGCATCGATCACGCATTACGCATTTTCGAGTCTAATTTATTGTAGAAATGCATCTTCAAATTTTTATTTCGCGATCCTTGAATAAATATAATCCAAAGCAGCGATCATGCATTACTTTGCTCGGTAAAACTACCGAAGCGAACAACGAAAACATAACATTGACTATATGAACATCTATTGAAATTAATTTCCTCTGTTTCTAATTTATTCATCTCTAATT